GTGCTGAATAATTTAGAAACGGTACCAAAAATGGAGAGTTGAAAGAGATCAAGTCTAAAGGCAAAATAAATAAATAAATAAATAACAATCAAATGAAAACTCTATAACAATTCCACTATAATAACATAAAATATAATTAAAATGAAATACAATATAGTAAAATAAATAAAATAAAATACTTAAGTATAACCTGACACAAGAGAATAAAATTTGTGTACTGTCAACAAAAACCTTCCTAAAGTTCATATGGAATCTCAAGAGTCTCTGATTAAAAAAACAAACTTGAAAAAATACAGGTCAAAGACTTACACTTCCTTATTTCAAAATCTATTATAAAGCTAAAGTAATCAAAACAATGCAGTACTAGAGAAAAGAGAGACCAGCAGAATACAGGTATCAGAAATAAACTGAGGTATAGATGGTCAAATAATATTCCACAGAGTTATTGAAACCACTCAATGAAGGAAAGGCAGGCTTTTCAACCAAAGGTGTTAAGAAAACGAAATACAAACAAGAAAAAGAATAAATTTAAAACAATTCTTTACACCATATGCAAAAACTAAATGAAAACAAATGAACATCAAAACATAAGACTGAAAGCTATAAAACCCCTTGAAGAAAACAGGATAACTTACATTGCATTCAATAATAATTGATCAGAAATGACACCAGAAGCACAGGCAACCAAAGTAAAAACAGATAAACTGAACTAAATCAAAATTACAAACTACTGTGTATCAAAGGACACATTCAATCATGTACAAAGCCAATCCATAGAACAGGAAAAAGTATTGGAAATCATATATAAATATCAGATAACATTTAAATGACTACAACACTGAATTATTGACAAAAGATAAAGGCAAGAATAGCCAGATGAAGAAATGCATTGGGAAACCTGTGGAGGAAGGGCCAGAAGATTCCATGCCATTCTCCCCAGTCACTACAGATTCACTAACTGGAATATCTCAGAACGCTCTCCATTTTGGTTTTGATGAAAGTCTAATTACATAGGAGTGACTAATTAAAAAACTGGCCACTGGTGACGAAACTCAATCTCTAGCCTTTCTCCTCTCCTAAGAGGTCAGTGGATAAAGACTCTTAAGTTCCCACCTCTAAATCTATGGTTGGCTCCCTAGACAACTAGGCTTCCTGTCATGGGGATTTCTAAAAGTCACCTCACTCACAGACACAGAGCTGTGACTGAAAGAGGCTGGTTATGATTGAGACACCAATTTCTCCTTTAAGGCCCTGAAGTGGAACTGAGGACAAGAGACCATGTGTCATAACAAAAGATCACCCCATTGCTGTTATCGGTCAGGGAATTCCAAGCCTTTGGAGCCTGAGTCAGAAAGAAAGACAAAAACCATATATCTATATATATCTATATATATCTATATATATCTATATATCTATATATATCTATATATATAGATATATAGATATATTCAAAGACCCAAATTTGCAAAGAGGAAAAGAAATAAGGCACATGCAGCAGAAAATGGACAACTGTATCTATCTATATATCTATATATCTATATATATCTATCTATATATATAGATATATAGATTCTATTTATTTATTTATTTATTTATTTATTTATTTATTAATTATAAATCACAGTATCATAAACTCCTACATTCAACACAAACAACAACCAGACATGTCCTGATTATTTAAATAGTGGGCAAAGGACATGAGCAGACATTTCTGTAGAGATGATGTACAAACACATGAAGAGATGATCAGTATCACTAATCATTAGGAAACGCACATGTCAGCCATGATGAGGTATCGCCTCACACCCATTATGAAGGCTACCATTAAAAAGCAGAAAATAACAAGTGTTGGACAAGATGTGAAAAAATGGTTAGTCTTATGCACCACTACTGGGAAGGTAAAATACTGTATAGCTGCTATCGAACCCAATAGGGCAGATCCCTGAAAAGCAAACTCGGAATTATCATCAGCTATAGACTGAATGTGGATGTCCCTTAAAGTTCTGATGTTGAAATGAAAATGGTGAGCCTGTGGGAGATAATTGGGTCTCAGGGCAGATCCCTTCTGAGGAGCATCAGTGCCCTCCTGAGAGACCAGAGACCAGCCCTTCTTCTGTCCTGCAAAGGGACAAGGAAAAGTTAACCACTTGCAATGGGGAAGAGGGTCCTCCTCCCAACCTGACCATTCTGGACCTGACCTCAGACTTCCAGCCCTGGAACGGGGAGAAATACTTTCCTGCTGTTAACAGACTGCCCACTTGGGTTCTCTGTTATAGATGTGAGAACGGATAGACATACCGTGTGATCCAGCAATTCCATCTCTGGGTATACATACAAGAAAATTGATAGAAGAATCTTGAAGAGATTTGCATGCAAGTGTTCACAGAAGCATTATTCGCAATAGCCCAGAGGTAGAAACAACCCATATGCACACTGAGAGATGACTACACAAACAAAACGTGGTAAGTACATACAATGAGATATGATTCAGTATGCAAAATAAGACACTTACCTAGTCATCTGCACCAACATGATAACTGGAGGACTTTATGCTAAGTGCCGCTGATCAGTCACAAATAAGACAAATGCATTATGTATTTATGGAAGTACCTAAAATAGTCAAATTACTAGAAAAAGAAAGAACAATGCTGTTTGCCAGGGGCTGAGGAAAAAGGAAAATAGGGTGAAACAAGAGATTTTAAATACTCATGGTCATCAGTTAAATCTGTACTCAAAGAACAACAATGAAATATGGTACAGATTAAATATGCAAACCACAAATGACATAAAATATTAAGTTATATGATAAGAAAAAGAGAGTCATGAGGTCAGGGGAGCTCCTACTGTATGTACCTCAAGGGTAAGAGGGTGAGAACTTGGACAATATTCTCCCAGGAGAAATTCTACCCTATTTAGTACATGTGTGCACGTAGTACACATGATCACAGAGTTCCAGAGAGATGCTTACTGACACTAGAAAGAAAACTGAAAACACTTATCAGTCAGGCTGTCATAACACTTTCTAACTCGGTGTCCTGGGACATGCTGACCGCTCTACCAGGCAGCTCTAAGTGCTGCTTCTGTGCGTAGCGGTATAATATTGCAAATATGAGTCAACGTATCTCCATCAAGAATTTTCTATGATCGAGGAAACTCACTCCACAGGAGAGTCCACCAAGAGTTGTCCATCCCCTAAAGGTGGATGATACCCGCAAAAGATGACGGTGAACTATCAGACCCCAGCAATGTGTAGATAACAAGCAAGGTTCTAGGCAAACCATGTAAACTACACAGAATATGAAATCTGGAAGAGTCTATATTCCCAGACGAGGTAGCGTGGTGCAGAGAGAGATGTAAAAGGATCAGGGTCAGACACTGTAGAATTGTGAAGGGACCATGTACACCACCACAGACAATACACTACAAGCCTGGGAGACTGAAATGTGCTCCCCGTGTATAACTGGGGGCCAAGAGATGCTCTCTCCAGCCACTGTCTCTAGAGATTAACTAATAACATTTATAGAAGATCCTATCCACCTCCCTGAGACATAAACGTCTGAAGTAGCAAAAGCTAGAACAGAAGAAATGGCTGTGGGATCTAATTCGGAATACAGGGGAGGAGAGTGCCCAATGCAGTCCCTGGGGCATCATATGGAGAGGACAGACAGTGTGCCCCTCTTCTGATTAGGCCTTCCAATCACAGAAAAAAGTGCTGGTACCAGGATGGGTCCATGACTGCAAGGCCTCAGCTCTGCTCTGTACAGACTGAGAACCAAGCATCTGATGGAACCCAGTCCAGGAGAGACCAAGGGGACAGAGACCATTTGACGCAGCCCACCCTACGCTCCTCAAGTCAAGGAACCAACAATATCACAGGGGCCACAAAACAGACTGTTGTGATCTCGATAAAAACTTTACTGGTGTCTCTGTTGGAATGGCAGCACCGTGGAGGGTGAAAGGATAAATTTTATACATTAAAGGACAGAATAGTAAGTTGGGGAGAAGAAAAATTTCCTTTGACGGTTCCCCAGAAATAAAATTCTGTTTGCCCACAGAACTTTCTCACTTCAGGCAAGTTTACAAACACTATGAAGGCTACGGCCTCCTCTCTTTCTTCCCGAGCTCTTACCTGTGTTCACACCTTCGATATGTTCCCACCAATCTGGTTTTTGTGCTAGTTTCAACTCGCTCTCCTGAGTCCAGGGTGCTTTCCCTTGCTCCAAAATGGAAACAATATATAGATCAGAAACAGAAATTCCTGCATATAAGAAGAAAGAAGCATGAAGACCTGTAGTTCTGTCAGAATCTCCGATCTCTGGTCAACTGAGAAATGAGAATAGTACAGATAACATAAGAATAGTTCACAAATGTGTCGACTCTTTGCCTCCTTCTGTGCATAGGAACCACTGTCATATGCAGATGTGGAGCTGTGTTTCCAAAACTACTGAATCAATACATAGGGATAGAAAATGAAGTAGATATTTTAGTTTGCTACAGGACTTTATAAATACTTATTCTCTGGAAAAATTCCTTTTGTACCACAAAGTAAGCAGACCATCTGAAAAAGGGCAAGCTTAAAGTCCTAATACCACCTTTTGAAGCCTTTTTATGTCCAAGTAAACAGTTTCTATATCAGTCAAGCAAGGCATGGGCTTCTAAAGAAGCACCCAAGGGAAAAAGAAGAGACACTGAGGGCAAACCCTGACCCTGGAGGGAAGTCATCCTCACCTAGGAAGAGCAGGTTCCGGTAGCTCTCCAACATCACCTCCCTGTACAAGGCCTGCTCAGCTGGGGACAGGCATTCCCACTCCTCCTGAGAGAATTCTATGAACACATCGCTGAGGGTCAATTGTCTCTAAAGAAAAAAAAAAACACATTTCAGTAAGGAGAAATTGCGACAGTTTTTACCTTTACACAGAATGAGGAGATTATAATTTATTCAGTTGGAGTTTTCCAAAAGATTGATATCAAATATTTTTGATCAAGTTATGTGTCCATAGTGTTGGTTTATAATACTTTCCCATAAAAGTTAGATAGCCCATATTAGGGAGGGCCTCTCAATTTTGTGGACCATCCATGAAATGACAATTAAAATTCACCACTGGGCTGTCTCTACTGAGGGTTAAATGTGATGTTCTATGCACTTAGTGATATTCAGTGTCTGGATGAGTGAGAGCATGAGCAGTGTATTCAGAGATGACAAAGTCTAGAGTGTGTTTTAGGAGTTTGTAGAAACATGGCGAAGTGAGAGATGTCCCCAGATCTTTCCCCTTGAAACAACAATAAGCTGAACATCTAAAACTCAAAAAAACAAAACAAACAGACAAACGAAAACACCACTCGAACTGCACACCAGCTCATCTGAGCGTGGGATCTATGCATAAGAGCTACCACAGGTCAGAACCCTGAGTGTCGGGCGCTGAACTGGGAGAAATAAAGAAGCTGCCTTTTGCAGCCACTGCAGTTCCCTGTAGGATGAGGCAGATGAGAGAAGGTGTGGCGACCTACCTGAACAGACCTGCCTGGGAGTGCTGTGAACAGGGCCGGCAGCAGGGTCAAGTCATCAGGGCAGAAAGCAGAAAAACGGGATGGCAGAGAAACAAGAGTTGATTTTTGCCAGCTGTGGTTCTAAAACCGAGGCTGAGCCGCAGTCCCCAACCCCTAACCCGGAAGGACCCTCCCCGCCATACCTTCCAAGACAGAACACCATGAAGCCACAGGGGAATCTGAGCAAACACTACCAAACTATCACTAACACTGACAGGGACTGAGACTGAGAGTAGTGAGTGCGATAAAACATCTATAAGGAAAAAAAAAAAAGGCATTATTAAGGCTTTATATAAAGCAGGAATCCAAGAGGCTTGGACGCCACCTACTGGAAACCAAAAGAAAAATGCCTTCTTCGCAACAGGCTAAAGAGAGACCTTTATATAATAAATCTTCTTTCTGGAAAAACAACAGAATACACTTCCATTAATGCCCAGGCAGAGAAATAGTCCATTAAAATTATGAACAACCAAGGTGACAAGGCAGCTCATAAAAAAGAGAAAAATCTCCAGAAAATAAGCTTACATAGAAATATACAACTTAAATGACAGAAATTCAGGATGGTACTTCTGAAAAAACTCAGTGAGATCCAAAAGGAGTCATATCAACAATTTCAGGAATTGAAAAAACAACTAGATGAATAGAATGAGTTCTTTAGGAAGGAGATTGAAACCATCAAAAAGAACAGACTTCTGGAGATAAAAAACATACCGCAAGAGATGAAAAATGAAATAGCAAACTAGGGAAACAGAGTCAACCAAAAAGAGGAAAGGATCAGTGATATTGAGGACAGAAATCTAGAAATAAATCAGAATGAAGAGAGAAACTGAAGAATGAAAAATAATGAAAGAGAAATCCAAAAACTAGCTGATACCAACAGGAGAGGAAACATAAGAATAATGGGTATTATCAAAGGAGAGATAACGGAACAAGGACTAGAAAGCATTTTCAAACAAATAGTTGATAACTTCCCAAATCTAAAGAATGAGCTGGAGCTTTGAATTCAAGAAGTCAACAGAACATCCAATTATCTCAATGTAAAAAAACCTTCACCAAGACACACTGTATTGTCAAAAATGAACAAGAAAGACAAAATTCTCACAGCAGCCAGGGAGAAGATGGTAACCTATATAGGAAAACCTATTAGATTAACGTCAGACATCTCAGCACAAACCTTACAAGCCAAAAAGAAGTAGCATCAAATATTAATACCATTAAATGAAAGGAACTACCAGCCTAGAATAATGTATGCAGCTAAGCTCTCTTTTAGATATGAAAGAGAAATAACGACCTTACTAGATATGCAATAATTGAGGGAATTCTCCACTATGAGGCCTGCATTACAAGAAATACTGAAAGGGGTTAGCTCACCTTAAATAAAATGACAAAAAAATACTTAATTAGGAGTAAGGTGACAGGCAGGCTAATAGAAGCAGAGGAGTGCAATTCTTATTAAGAACGGGGCATTATAAGCTTAAACAATAATAAGAGATTTGTTACAGTAGGATAGTAATGAATGTTCAGCATACATAGGGACAAATTGAGATAACAATGACTAAAAAGGGGAGGATTCAAAGAACCAAATTTGCAAAGGGGAATTTCAATCATCGTATTTCAAAAATCACCCTAAATGTAAATGGACAGATCTCACCAATAAAAAGGCATAGAGTTGCAGAATGGATCAAAAAACAAAACCCAACCATATGCTGCCTCCAGGAGACACACCTCAGCTCCAAAGACAAAAATAGACTCAAAGACAAAGGGTGGAGAATAATATTTCAAGCAAATGGCATTAAGAGAAAAGTGGGAATAGTGGTATTAATACCAGATGAAACAGACTTCAAAATAAAAAAGGTAAAGAAATGTACTGAGGGACACTTCATAATGATAAAGGGAATCATGCACCAAGAAGACATAACACTTATTAATATCTATGCTGTTAATCAGGGAGCCCCAAAATATGTAAAGAATTACTAACAGAACTAAAGGGAGAAACAGATCAAAACACTATTATAGTAGGGGACCTAAATACCCCACTCTTGGTATGGATAGATCATCTAAACAAAATCAGTAAGGAGATAACAACTTTAAATGACACATGATACCAACTGGACATAATTGACATTTACAGAGCCTTTCGTCCCAAAACAGCTGCTTATACATTCTTCTCTAGTGCACAAGGAACATTCAAAGGACTGACCACATACTGAGATGCAAAAATAGCCTCAACAAATATAAGAGGTTTGAAATCATACCAACCATATTCTCTGATCATAATATTTTAAAACTAAAGATCAACTACAAAAAGAAAGCAGGAAGAACCATAAATATATAGAGATTAACGACAAGCTACTGAAGAATAACTGGGTCAGAGAAGAAATAAAAAGAGAGATCAAGAGATGCATAGAAACGAATGATGATGATAGTACAACATATCAAAACTTTTAGGACACAGCAAAAGCGGTCATAAGAGGAAAGTTCATATCATTACAGGCCTATTACAGGCCTACCTCGAAAAACAAGAACGAGAGCAGATAAACAACCTGACACTTCATCTTAAAAAACTAGAAAAGGAAGAACAATTGAAGCCTCCAGTCACCAGAAGGAAAGAAATAATCAAAATTAGAGCAGAAATAAATGAAATTGAAAACAAACAAAAAAAACAATAGAAAAAAATAAATGCAACAAAGAACTGGTTCTTTGAGGTTAATAAAATTGACAAATCCCTGGCTAGACTCACTAAAGAAAAAAGATAAAGGACACAAGTAAACAAAATCAGGAATGAAAGAGGAGAAATTATGACAGACACTGCAGAAATACAAAGGATCATACAAGAATATTATGAAAAAATATATAACACCAAATTTAATAACCTAGAAGAAATAGACCAGTACTTAGAAAAATAAATCTTCCTAGACTGAATCAAGAACTGGAAAATCTAAATAAACTCATCGGCAGCATGAAATAATTATATGAAAAACTTACCAAAAAGTAAAAGTCCAGGACCAGATGACTTCACTAGTGAATTCTACCAAACATTCAAAGAAGATTTAATACCTATACTCCTCAAACTCTTCTGAAAAAATCGAAGAGGAGGCAATACTACCCAACTCATTTTATGAGGTCAATCTTACCTAATACCAAAACCTGGTAAAGATAACACACAAAAAGAAAACTACAGACCAATATCTCTCATGAATAAGATGCAAAAATCCTAAATAAGATATTAGCAAACCAAATACAGCAATATATTAAAAGGCTTATGCACCATGATCAAGTGGGCTTCATCCCAGAGGCACAGGGATAGTTCAATATATGCAAATCGTTTAATATGGTAGACCACATAAACATATTAAAAAATAATATGATCATATCAATAGATGCAGAAAAAGCCTTCAACAAAATACAGCATCCATTTATGATCAAAACACTTCACAAAATTGGTATCTGGAAAGTAGCTTATATAATAAAGGTCAGCCAACATATACTTAATGGTGAAAAACTAAAAACCTTCCCTCTAAGATCAGGAACAAGGCAAAGCTGTCCACTATTGCCACTGTTATTCAATATAACATTGGAGGTCCTAGTGGTTGCAATCAGGCAAGAGAAAGATATAAAAGGCATCCAAATAGGAAACAAAGAAGTCAAACTGTCACTATTTGCAGAGGACACGATTCTCTATACAGAAAACCCTAAAGACTCCACAAGAACACTACTAGAAACAACAAGCAAATACAGTAAAGTTTCTGGATACAAAATCAATGTTCAAAAATCTGTAGTGTTCCTATACTCTAATAATGAAATGTCAGAAAAAGAAGTGGAAAAATAATTCCTTTTGCAATTGCAACAAAAAGAATAAAATATCTAGGAATAAA